CGGAAGTGGCCGCGGAAGGCCGGCCAGTCCAGGCGCGCGCCCTCGTCGGTGCGGCCCACGAGGTCGGCGAACACGTCCCGCGCCAGCTCGCCCCGCAGGCCGCCGTCGAGGGAGGCCAGGAGCAGCCCCGAGACGTCCCGCTGGCTCAGGAGCCCGTCGCCGTCGCCGTCGGCCTGGCGGAAGAGGCGCCAGAGGTCCGCCTCGAACTCCTCGGCCCCGAGGTCGAGGCAGGCGGCCACGAACTCGGTCCAGTCCACGACCTCTGGGCGCCGGCTCCGGGGGCCTTCCTGGGGCCACCCTGCTCCACTCCTGCGTCCACGCTGCGCCGAACGACCGGCGACCGGAGTCGAACCCGAGCCGAGCCTGAGCCGAGCTTGAGCCGAACTTGGGCAGAGGCCGAGCCGAGCGAATGTCCAACAGATGCCTCAGGTGGCCCTGGGGGAGGTCCCCAGGAAGGTCCCCAGACCCCCGACGTCATGACTTTTTCATGACGTCGACCCCAGATCGAGGTCTGGGCCCCTTCCCCGGGACCGGTTTTGCATCCTGGGCCGTTCTTTGACGGTCCCGAGGCCCGCTGGGGGCCCGAGAGGCCCAAAGACCGAGAAAAACCTCCGTCTTGATTTTTGTCCGATGCGTTGGATCTCTGGGTCCCCAGAAGGAGCCGCTGGCGACCTCGTCCCTGTTGAGGTCCATGGCCGCAGCGGCCTCGAGGGCGGCGGCGGCCTCGGCGCCGCACGCCTCCAGGGCGGCCGCGACGCGGGCCAGGTTCAGGCGCCCCGTGCGGGAGGCGTCGAGCTCCTCGAAGAGGCGCTTGATGGTGGGCAGCTGGTTCGAAGGCCACACCTACAGTGCGGGCGCGGCCACAAGAAACTCTCGCAAGAAACACAGCCCTGAAAACCCGCGCGCGGGGCGCACCTGAGGGGAAACCCGGAGCACCGTGAGAACACAGCAGCTTCTTCAACGGCTGCGTGGAAGCTACTGCGCAGCGCGCGGAGCGAAGAAACCCAGGGTGCCCTGGCGAAAAACAGATGGTCTCTTGATGCGCGCCCCCACTGTAATCCCACCAGCCCTTTGGGCGACGGGTGGTCTAACGAGGATCTCTTTCCTATTCCACAACCCCTCTTCCCTTCGGGGAGGGGAGCCCTCCCCCTGCCCTCCCTGAGGTTTTTTGGGAGGGGGTCGCGATGTGTCGGAGGCTTCTTTTTCTGCCAGTGGGAGGGCCATCCATTGCCACCCCTCACGAGGATCGTGGCCCCCGAGGGGGGACGCAAATCTAGTACCCCCACTCTTTTGACCGACCGCCTCCAAGATGGACCCCAAGAGGCCCTCGAGGGCTCCCCGGAGGCTCCCAGAAGGGCCCACACAGAGCGCCCCAAGAAGCCCCAAGAGGCATCCAAAAGGCACCCGAGAGGCCCCCAAGAGGCGCTTGATGGTGGGCAGCTGGTTCGAAGGCCGCACCTAAACAGACTCGAACTCAGCCTTATCCCCAAGGTGGGCAAGCCACAAGCGACGACAATCCTAGGGGTGTGCCCGCAGAAACTGGGGGAATCCTGAAGATAGGCATCGCAAGGCGATGCCAAACAAAGGGAGATAGAGAGCCGCACGATGACGTACGCGCCGAAGTGCGCGCCGCGAGCGGGCCATGCAACGCAAGGGATCGATGCTCGGATCATTCTACGTTGTGTCGTCGTGACTGCCACCCTCTACAAACTCCTACTAGACAGATCCTCCTTCATTATCACCCCCCCTTCTCCTACTCTTCTGTTGCCTCCTCCTCCTCCTCCTCCTTCTCCTCCTGCTCCTCCTCCTCCTTATCTCCGCTCTTCCCAGTGAGCCACAAACCAGCTCAATGTTGGCCGCATCGAAATCATGCGGGGTCCTCTCGGGCCTCTTCTGCCCCCCCTTGCCCTCAACGCGGAAGTGTCGTATGGCACAAACGGCACGGTGGAAATTATTTATCTCCAGCGTCAAGAAGCTTGACGCCCTCTCGTGGCCCAACAGGGGTTGCCTGAGGCCTTCTTGGGCCTTGGTGCCAGAGGCAAGCCCCAAAAGGCCCAAATAGGGCCCAAGAGGGCCCTCAAGAGGGTCCAAGGCGATATCGTGCCAGAGGCTATCAGTCGGAGGTTGGGGGGTGAGATCGAAGTGGAACGGGGAGCCCCCCTACCGGGAAATCGATTTCGGTTTCGTGTTCGTGCGTGCCGTGCGTGCGGGCGAGGCGAAGCTGCGTGGGCGGGCAAGAGGAAAGTCTCCTGTGGCTGAAGCGCGGCCGAACCAAATGATTCTCCACCGGGGCGCGGGGCCGCGCGGTGTCCCGCCAGTGTCCCGGTGGTGTCCTCTGTGGCTGAGGCGCGGCCGCACCAAATGATTCTCCACCGGGGCGCGGGGCCGCGCGGTGTCCCGCCGGTGTCCCGGTGGTGTCCCGTCGGTGTCCCGTCGGTGTCCCGATGATGATGTTGATGATGACTATGATGATGATGGTGATGATGGTGATGATGATGATGTTGATGATGGCGATGATGATGATGATGATGCTGATGATGATGTTGATGTTGTTGATGATGATGATGATGACGACGTCGATTGTGAGATCGATTGTGATCGGAGGTTGGGGGGTGAGATCGACGTGGAACGGAGAGCCCCCCTACCGGGAAATCGATTTCGGTTTCGCGTTCGTGCGTGCCGTGCGTGCGGGCGAAGCCCCGTGCACCCACCAGTACAGGCTAGGCTTTGGCAGCCGCTCTCTCCGAGCGCACCCCGTTCCTTCGGGCGGCCGCGCGGGCTCGCCGCCGCGGCTGGGAGCGAATCGAAAAACTGGGGCGTCTGGGCCCGTGGAGTTCGGCCGTCTACATAAAAAGGGATACGCCGACAGGACGCTGGCGCGGGCCCCTGGGAGGGGTTCCGGTTCCGTTTTGAGGTTGGCGCCGAGGTTCGGTAGAGGTTTCCTGGCCCTCGGAGGCCCTGCTCGCCGCCGCGGCTGGAAGCGAATCGAAAAACTGGTGCGTTTCGGCCCCTGGAGTTGGGCCGTCGACATAAAAAGGGATACGCCGACAGGACGCCGCCGCCGTCGCTGTCGCAGCAGTTCTCATCAATTGCATTTGCACCATGTGCAACCCGACAAAGGGAGGGAGAGGAGCCTCAGCAGGCCTCCGAGAAAAAAATCTCCACTGGCATCGTCAGGAGAACAATCACCACTGTTGCCGATTGCTCGGCCCCTCCACTCCCCCCAACCTCCTGATCACCCGCAGGGTGGTCGTATAGGTATGATATTGCTGGTGGCCCTTTCGGGCCTCTCTTGGGGACACTTTTGGGCCCCTCTCGCAGCTCTCTTGGGGCTGTCTGGTGCCCTCTCGGGTAATACTCACGCCTAGCGGAAGGTCCCCAGAAAACCGCCGAAGCGGCCCCTGACGATCTCATACCGGGGGCTATTGGTAGGGAGTCGTTGTGTGCCCTTTACGGCACATCTTGAAGGCCTAGGCCCTTTTGAGCAAGTATTGGAAATCTCTTGGGATGGTCCAGGGCCCTCCCGCGCCGTCTCTGGGGCCAGAGGAGAGCTTCATGAAGCCCAAGAGGGCCCAACACGGCTCCCAAGAGGTCCCCCAGCGAAATCTGATCAGAGGGTCGTGGTATGATACGTCGCCGTGACAAACGTTGTAGGTGGTCTGCGTGCAAGATGACTGACGACTGGCGAAGTACGGGGAATGGGCGGAGTAGAAATTACTCCGCGCGGACACGCATCTCGCCCCGTGGTTTAATGATAGAGTGGGCGGAGAAATTTCGGATCCGGTCGACCCCCGCTAGCCGGGGACCTAGAGGCGTGTGAGACAGTTGGCTGTCCCCCTCCCCCTGTCCCCCTCCCCTCGGTCCAAAATTCCATTCCAGGGAAGGGGGAGGGGAGAAGGGACAAGCTCGTCAACGCACCCGCTGGGCCTCTGGAGCCCCCCAAAAAGCCCCAGGGCAGCCCAGCAGTGCCCAGACAGAGCGCCAGGACAGTCTAAGAGAGCGTCACGACGGCCCAGGGTAGCCTCACGATGATCCAAGATGGCTTCAAGATGACCTGGCCCACGATGCCCCCAAGACAGCCCAAAAGCGCCCCTGGGAGTAAAAAGCGTGCATGCTCAGCACGTTCGCACTTCACGTTTTGACAGCGAAAACACGACGCCCCAAGTGGCCCCCAGGCTCGCCCCAGGACGGCTCGTGATGCCTCCAAACAAAAAAAAAAAACAAAAAAAAAACAAAAAAAAAACGGCCCAAGAGGGCCCAAAGGCAGCCCCAGGGGCCCCCCCAGACGGCCCAAGACAGCCCCTGGAGGTGCACGGTTTCCTCGGGGCCGTAGGCGACCCGAGGAGGGGGAGGAGGAGGAGGAGGAGGAGGAGGAGGAGGAGGAGGAGGAGGAGGAGGAGGAGGAGGAGGAGGAGGAGGAGGGAGGAGGAGGAGGAGGAGGAGGAGGAGGAGGAGGAGGAGGAGGGAGGAGGAGGAGGAGGAGGAGGAGGAGGAGGAGGAGGAGGAGGGAGGAGGAGGAGCAGGAGGAGGAGGGAGGAGGAGGAGCAGGAGGAGGAGGAGGAGGGGGGAGGAGGAGGAGGAGAGGAGGAGGAGGAGGAGGAGGAGGAGCAGGAGGAGAGGAGGAGGAGGAGGAGGGAGGGAGGAGGAGGACGAGGAGGAGGAGGACGAGGAGGACCAGGAGGAGGAGGGAGGAGGGAGGAGGAGGAGTGAGAAAAGGCACCCCAGGAGACGCACAGGTTCATCCGGGAGGCTCCTGGCCCAAGACATGGCTTCCGCGATCGCCTCGAGCACCCACTCCCCGGCGGAACAGCGCACATGCCTCTCGAGCCAAGTAAGGGAGGGGGGCCCGAAGTTACTCCGCGGGAGCGCAGGGGCCACTTGCCCACGTTCGAGGATCGCCAGAAGGATACAGTCGGGGGCTTGACCTAAGGAACCCAGCATAAGGAACGAGCCCCCTTTTTCCCATGAGTGAAATTTCGATTCCCGATCCGAAAACCTAAGGAACACCTGAGGCAAGCCGCGAAACACTCAAGGAACGCGGAGCCCCTCCCCAACGAAAAGGGTTCCTTCTTCAGGGCCCCGACTGTAGGGGATCCCAGCACCAGACCAAGCCGCGTAAACTCTCGCCACGGCAGTGCAATCTAGCCTGCGGCCCGCTTCGGGGGTCCCCCACGGGAGCCCCTCTAGGCCCCTCTCGGAGCTCTCTCTGGGCTGTCCAGGGCCCCGCTGGGCCGTCTGTGGGGCCAAAGGAGAACCCCACGAAGGCCCAAAGGGCTTCGAGAGGGCCCTCGAGGCGTCCCCACACGATATCACACCACTGGCTTTTGGTATCACATCGTTGGGGGTCATTCGGGGCCCCTCGTGGGAACTTTTCCCGGTCCCTCGTGGAGCTGCAGTAGGGCTGTCTGGGGCCCTCTGGCGCCGTCTTTGGGTTCGGGCATTTCCTGGGCGAACGTGAAAGAAACCGTCAGCTCGCCGGTCACCTAATCCACCGGCGGCGAATTCGTGCACATAGCCAGGGGGCAACCAGGGTATGTACATCAAGTTCTTCAGGCCTGCCAGGGGGGAATAAACAGAATGCACGCATTTACACAGCTGAACTTTTTTATCACGCCCATACAGGGATCCACCCCAGACAAGCACGGACGCGCTCGGAACGAAAGCCCCTGCCGCACCCAGCAGCACAGGAGGCGCCAAAGAGACGCCCAACGGGCGCCCACCGGGCGAGAACCCGGCGCACCTATCCTCAGCGCACGGGGCGCCCTCGGGCGCCCAGAAGGCGAAGCCCCGCCGTTATTTCCGCTATTTGCCGCGGCATAAGGGTCACTCCCTGTGCCGCCTCGGTGGCGCCGATGCGCCCAGGCCGAGCCGCACGCGCGGTCGACACGCTGGCGCCCTCGGCGCAGGGGGGGGACCCGCCCGTACCCAGTCCCCTCCTGCCCCCCCCTCCCCCGTTCACTCTTCATCCCCGGAAGGCGAAGCCCGCCGTGCCCCGTCCTCCTCCTGCCCCCCCCCCCCTCCCCCGCTCACCCGTTCTCGGAGCAGGCACGGGCAAACCTCCCCGCTCCGTCCAGCGCCCGTCTTGCCTCTGGTATCCGACCTTCGCCCCCCCCCACCCCCCACCCCCCACCCCACCCCACCCCACCCCACCCCACCCCACCCCCCCCCACCCCACCCCACCTCCTATCTTCCCCAACTTTTCAACATCACCCCCCACACCCATCCATCCTTCGAGTATCAGCCTCCCCTCACCTACATCGTCCTCTTTCTTTTTCCTGGTCCTCCTCGTTGGCATGACCTTCTCTCTGCATCACAATTGGCCCCCCTCCTCGTCAGCCTCCGCCCCAGTCCGCACGACTGTTCAATATTCGCCTGCGCTTTCCGATCTTGCCTCTTTGTGCCCCTTCTTCTGCTCTTGTGACTGGTTTCTCTCCAATCCTTCGCCGCCTCCTCCCCCCTTCTCAGAGTACGCGCGGGCGGGCTGGCAAACCTAAATTCAACTGGTGATGTATCGTCGCCGCCACTCCCTCCCACGTGCCCCCCCCCCACCCCCACCGGCACGTCGTCCGAACGTGCCGCCCAGGAAAAGTCAACGCAACATAGAAACCGAGGACAAAGCGATACTGCTACAGAGCGAAGACATTGATTCGAAGTGAACAATTGCCCCAGAGATCATGAGACAAAAACGCCCTGGCGGGAAAATAGGCTGGACGAGCGCATGAACCAGAGAGGGACGAGGAAACGGAGACTTCCAAACACATATGAGGCCTTGAAGGAAACGAGCGCGATTGCCCAAAAAGAACAACGACATGTTGTGATGGCGCGCTTCTTGAATTTCGGACTCGCATAGCGTACAACGATGAGCACAGAAACGCAGAAAAACAACTCACATAGATGAGCAACCAGCGCAAAGACAAAGTCAGCGACCATGGGAAGGCACGAGGAAAGCGAGAAAGAAGGACACAGCGCAAACACACCATCCCCCAGTCGCAATATTTTCGATCCATCCTCGGGTCGCTCTCGAGGGCAGGCGACCGAACGCAAAAACGTGGCACTGGGCGGTCTTTCGGCCCCCACCGCCGTGAAGACCAAGCCCCGAGCGGCGAGAGCTCCGACGCGGGGACACAAAGTGCAGTCCACGTGCCACGCGCGCTCCCCCCCCCCTGCAATCTCCCTGACAACCTCACAAAAAATTCAAGTCGGGCGAAAGAAAACCTCCCAAAAACCTCCCTGAAAACCTCCCAAAAAATTCGGGTCGGGCAAAAAAAACCTCCCTGAAAACCTCCCAAAAACCTCCCAAAAAATTCGGGTCGGGGGATAGCAAAGGGGGGGGGTGAGAATCAGCTCACGTGGCTGATTTTCCCGGCGCCTCCCGGCGCCGGAGGCGGCCATGTATCGAGGCATGGGCCCCTCGGTGGGGCCGAAACCAGCTGCATGCAGCAAATTTCGGAACCCCCCCTTTCCCAATCCCCCCCTTTCGCCCGGCCCGAAAAATCCTGCACGGTGACGCGGGAACCTGAACACCTGGAACTTCTTCCGCTCCTGAGCATAGGGTTAAGTCGGGCCTGTCCCCCTGCAGAGGGATTGACGACGAAAAATAGGAGAGTCCCCCCAAATAACCAAAACATGATCCAAAGATAGTCTGGGGACTATTTTTTGATTATTTTTTTGCCATTTGGGTGTATTTGTTCGGTTTTCTTTATTTTTCGTCGAAAATCCTTCTGTAGGGGGACACGCCCGACATAAGCACAGGGACAGATGCTTCAAACTGGCACGCACCCTCGCGATGGAGAGCGCCACGCTGTTGTGGAGGATGCTGCGCCGGGGCACGTCGACGAGCCGCAGCGCCACCCCTGGAGGCAGCGGCGCCGCGGCGGCGGCGGCGGCGGGCTGCACGAAGCACTCCCCCAGGCACGCCGCCGCGGAGGGGCGCTGGAGTTAAGTCGGACGCGTCCCCGTACACATCGATTTTCCACGAAAAAATATATATATATATATATATATATATATATATATATATAAAAAAAAAAAAAAAAAAAAAAAAAAAAAAAAAAAAAAAAAAAAAAAAAAAAAAAAAAAAAAAAACTACAAAACATCCAAAATGGTCAGACATACAAACAAAAAATCCTCGGACTATGGTTTTACTGTCTCTGGATATTCCCCCTGTCGAGGGACGGGCCCGACTTAACGCTGGAGGCGGTCGAAGACGAGCATGCGGCGGCACATGCCCACCGCGTCGCTGGAGGCGGCGCGCAGGCGCGCCCAGGGCGGCGCCGGGCGGGCGCCCCAGTAGGCCGAGGCGCCCTGGTGCTCGCACGGGCAGTCGAAGGGCAGCCGCAGCGCCAGCAGCTCGAAGAGCACCACGCCGCAGCTCCAGACGTCCGCGCGCGGCGTGAACTCGCCGCTCCAAGCCTCTTGAAGGGGCCCCAGGACACACAAATAAATACACACAAATAAAAATATTCAACATATTTTCCCATATTTTCTGGGTTTTTGTCTTCCCCCCCACTCCCCGTATTTTCCCATATTTTCCTGGGAATCGACGATTAATTGTGTCTGTGTGTTTTTTCCTCTCCTGACCTCTGGCGCCATGGTGCATGGGGTGCCCCTGGGCTTGCGGCTCCGGAAGTTCCCGGGCTGGAACACCTGCAGGCGGGGCGAGGGGAGGCGTCCGGAGACGACTTGCTCGGGACGCGTTCCGGGACTGCTCTGGGCCATGGAGCGGCTCCCGTGTCTACAGCCCGTGAGGGGCATATCATGCCGCCGGCCTGTTTCTGGAGAAATCTACGCATCATGGCACACCTTGGAACGTATGGTCATCATGATTTCTCGCTCCTCTGAGTGGAGGAGAGAACACAGCAAAAGACAGCATGAGCATCACCTTTCAGAGCTCCGCGCGGCTTGCTTCGATCGGCGCCGGACGCTCACTCCCTGGCGCCTCCGGCGCACATGCACACGTCCGAGCGATGCCAAGCCAAAGGGGCCCACAGCGCCGATCCAAGAAATCCGCGCGGCACTCTGGAAGTTTCTGTGTGTGCAGGCTGTTCTTCTTCGGGCCTGGGCGACGCCCAGGTCGATGACCATCACGTGGGGCTTCTCGTGGACGTTCGCCAGGATGCGGCCCTCCTGCTCGCCACGGCAGGGCGGGAGGGTGCTGCGGCTGGGAGTGAGCATGATGTTGGCAGCCTTCAGATCGAGGTGCACGATGCCATGGGAGTGCACGTGCGCGATCGCCATGAGGACCTGGCGCAGCACGTCGGACACGAAGCGCTCCTGGAAGAAGAACAAGGCTGCCTGAGCACACCCCTTCAGAGCCCGCACGGAACTCCGAGAGGTGTGTCTATGCAGCTGCTTATTCTCCTCCAGGCTCCGGCAGGAGGCAGCAGGCACCCCTGCTCTCCGAGATGGTGGAGTGGAGGTCGCCGCCGGAGCAGTAGTCCATGACCAGGTAGACGTAGCTCTGATCCTCTCGGCGGCGCGCCGAGGGGGGAAGGGGAAAGAGGGGCAGGTGCTCTCAGGAGGTGGCGGGGCTTCTCGGCAGCCCTCCCGCCCTTCTGAGAGGCCCGATGCGGCTTCGGAGAAATTGTATAAAGCTTCTGAGAAGGCCGAGGTTTTTTTTTTTTTTGTTGCATGTGCTGTTTATATATATATATATATATATATATGTAGATCTACGTGTGTGTGTGTGTATGTGTATCTATATGTGTATATATATATATGAATATATAGTTGCTCGTGATATAAGAAAGGGGAGGCCTTCTGGGCCCTCTGGGACGGTCCGCCCCCGCTGCCCCCCCTCCCTGGGGATGCGCGCCGACGCGTCCTCGTAGTGCTCGTACAGCTTGACGACGTGGGGGTGGTCGAGGAACAGCAGGTGCTCGATCTCGCAGTCCTGCCGGCTACACTAAAGGGGCCCCAGGACACACAAATAAAGACACACACTAATAAACATTTCCCCCATATGTTCCTATATTTTCTGCATGTGTGTCTTCCCCCCCAC